CAAATAGAAAGATAGTTCACTTTCTAGAAGTATTCCAACAAGTTAATAAATAAGGAATGATAAATTGTACTATTACTATTCTCATTTCCTAATGAATGTAGAATTTGGGGACAAAGCTTACAATATGAAACATGGGGCAACCAGACATGTCTTCTGTTCAAAAACACACTACCCTCTGTGAAGCAATTTCCCTCTGAAAGGAAATCTGATGAAGGCCTCAGACACAACAGTTTGCAGAGGATACAGAGTGCTGGGGAGCCCAGCAGAGACTCTGCTGGGAGAGTCCAAGCAGCAAAATCCTAACTGCAGGAGTCTACTGAACAGATGATTTGGAATCTTCAGTAAATAGATGGTGGTCGGGGGGGGGGGACAGGAAAAGATGAAGTGGGATACTGCAGGTTAAAATAACTAAAAGATACTCCAGACACAAGAAACAAGAAGCAGGGCAGGGCTAGAGGCAGAGCTCAGTGGTAGTGCACTTGCCTAGCATTTCTGAGGCTCTAGGTTCAATCCCCAGGACAAAAACAAACACACAGACAAAGGTACACTTTGGTGTGTACAGATTTTTTGTTTTGTTTTGGTACCGGGAATCGAACTCAGGACTTTCCACTTTTGAGGCAGGCAGCAGCACCACTGAGCTAAATCCCCAGCCCTACTGTGTACAGATTTAAGCCTGGATGATAAAACCATATAAAGAAAACCCAAGAAGTAATCAAGTCAGAAGTCAGTAAGTGTGGACAGGAATAGCCATTGCTTTGGAGACAGGCATATGGAAGTCTTAGAGGATGGGTGGGTTTGGCAAGGTTCTGCAGGCTGAGTATCTCTAATCCAAAATATAGTAAAACTTTCTGAAACCAACATGATGTAGCAAGTGGAAAATTCTGCTGGGTGTGGTGGTCCATGCAATCCCAGCACTCCAGAGGCTGAGCCAGGAGGATTGCTGTGAGTTCGAGGCCAGCCTGGGCTACATAGTGAGACCTTACCTCAAAAAAGAGGAAAGAAAAGAAAGAAAGAAAAAAGAAAAAAATTCTACACAAGGAATGGTGTCTTAATCACCTCCCTCTGCTGGGTCAGAATACCCAACACCCACAGTTTAAAGGAAGCTCATGCTTTAGAAGTTTTCCATCTTTGTATGGTCAGCCAGCTCCAGAGAGCAGCAGCATGGTTGAAGGGTCTGGTGGGGAAAAACGGCTCACCTCAGAGGGCACAGGAAGAAGAGAGTCAAGGGAGGACCCAGGAAAGGAGACAGACCCCCCCCCAATAGTGATGTACCTCCTAACAGCATGTCAGTTATAAACCCCCAAATTCCAATCACCTTCCAAACTCATGAGGCTGTGGGGGCCATCTTAGATCTAAACCATGACAAATTGATTGCAGTTAAGACACAGGCGTACTGGGAAGAATGTATTTGAAATTACCTTCAAGCTGGGCATGATGGCACATGCCTATAATAGCAGTAGTCTTGGAGGTTGAGGCAGGAGGAGCATAAATTTGAGCTCAGCCCGGGCAACTTAGCGATTTAGGTAGACTTTCTCTCCAAAAGGGGTGAGCTGCAGTGGTGTGGCTTGGAATGTAGCTCAGTGCAAAATCTCTTGGGTTCAATCTCCAGTACAGGGAAAAAAATATTCTAGAGGTGGAAATAACAGATTGGTGATTTGCTTGTGCATGTGGGTGGGATAAGGAAAGTTTAAAGTCTATGATGCCTTCTAGAATTGTCCATTAAATGGATAGTGAAACCATTTACTGAAAGGGCTGAGTTGAATATGGCGCTTGTGGAGCTCTAAGCTGCTGTTCTGCTGCGATCAGAGTGACTCACTGTCTCCCAGGGTCTGGCTTCATCTTTTATCTCCTAAAGCTAAAGACACATCTTGCCCACAGAAGGCACTACTGTGAGCAAGCACAAGGTGTACAAAAAGCATTTCCTGCAAGTCCAGATGGAGAAAAGGCCCACTGAGGCCCTTCCTAGGATCACTGTGTTGGGTGAACAGAGTGAGTGCATCCTCCTTGCAGGCCGGAGGGAGAAGGGTGGCTGTGTGAGTCCATTAAACACATTTGGTTCATCTTCATCAAATGCTGGTCTGTTTTTGTTTCTGCACTGTGAGTGAGTGGCATGGGCTTAATGGACTGACCCTTAGCTCATGAGCAGTCATCACATGTTCTGCCTTGCAATGCCATTGTGATGGTTGCAAAGCAGAACATTTGATTTCCTTCTGTGCAGCAGGGAAATCAGAATACACCAGAGCCTAGTGTCCTGAGGAAGAAGAGATTATCTTTGCCTGCAGAAGTTTTCACAGACATGATGTTTTATCTGAACTTGAATGTCCCCAGGAGAAGGAGGCAAAGGGTTTGTGCTGAGAGGGCTGCAGGCAAATGGCGCTTCCCCCAAGTATGGGCCATGTAGGGAAAGTAGTTACCATGATGACCCTAAGCAACCACTGCTAGGAAAATGCATTGTTTTCAGTGCCACAAAGCACCTTCCATAGATGTGTTGGACATGTGGTGCTGACATTCATGATGAAGGCTCCTTAGCTGGTTCATTCCACCTTCTTCTGTTCACTCTAAACCCTCACACATCTCTTGCTGTCTGTAGAGTTTTCCTCCTCAAAGGACAGCAAGTGGCCTGAGGCCTGGCAAGATCTGCTCCTCTAGGTTGGCTCCTTGGTCTCACTGTCTTGGACAGTCACAGAACTCTGGTGATTGGGAATTCGGGCTATGTCTGCACGATGCGGGCCCCATCCTCTTCCAAGTCATCATCAGTTTAAGCCAGGTTGTTTAGCCTGTGGGCAGTGCACACCTTCTCATAGTCCTGGCTCCTACAACATGGGGGCTAGCTGAGTGGGTCCCAGGGACACAGATGTGACTTTTCCAGCAGACAGGGTCCTCTGTGAAATCTAGGGAGAGAGGAGAGATGGCAGCTTTGGAGTGAGTGTTGGGACTTTGGGGAGGAGTGGGGTGCAGATAAGGAAGGCAGGTGGTGAAGTTTGGCTAATTTGGTCATGAGTCTCCCTAGTATAGGAGAGGAGTGACATGGGACTCAGGCTGAAATCTGGATCTGAGCTGGATTTACCACGTAGGAGTGTGAGAACTTGGCACTTTTTTCCCCCTCTTTGCAGTCAAGTGGCCTACCCCTGAGCAACATCCCCAGTCCTTATAAGGCAGGACAGTAGGGCATTGCCAGCCCAGCTGGGCAAGTGGGTGTGACTTGTCAATCACGGAGATCCAGGAAACATGCTCAGAAGAACAGTTTCCAAGCCCGGATCAGAAGTGCTATCTTCAGTTCTTCAGGCACAAGATCAGGCAGGTTTTTGATAGGACAGCCTAGATCTGATGTCAGAACGGAGGATACAAAACAGGGCCACCATGCCTGCTCTTTCTCCAGTAGTCCCCTCTCACTCTGCAGAAACTACTTCTTTTCCTACCTTTAACAAATGTATAACTTAGCTACCTTTTGCACATTTCTTGACCAATTCTTTGTTCAGGACAACAAAAACCTAGAAAGAATCTTTAGAAGGAGCCCACAGCATCTCAGAACTCGAGTAACATTTGGCCATATTTTTTAGACTGTGTGCTAGACTGGGTTTCCTCACTGGCAATTTAGGAACAAAAACACATCACATATAATTTGATGAGGATTAAACTAAACGGTTTACTGTAATAGCATGTGGTTATCCATTTCCCTCTGTCTAGGAGCCACACAGGCGCATAGGAGACCATTCAGGGATGTCATGGGAGCACACAGAGAGTGCACCTAGTACCTTGACCCGACAGTGAGCCTAGGGCAGGATCCTGACCTGCATCTTTCTCCTCCTCTGAACCACAGTAAATGCATTGCTTGTGCACAGCATCAAATGATTGCATGAGTTCTTTCTATGGTAAGGTACTTATTTAGCTCTATGAGATAAAGGATGATGAGCCCAGCATGGTGGTACACACCTGTAATCCCACCACTCTTGGAGGCTGAGGCAGGAGGATTGCAAAGACCCTGGATTCAATGTCCAGCACCACAAAAAAGAAGAAGACAGCCTTGGACAGACTGGAGCTAATTGGATGTGAGATTAAGGGGCGTAGAGAGTCAGGATGATTCAGAGGCTGGAGTCCAGCAGAAAGGCCTTGTTGATTAGGGAAAACAGTTCAAGGAGAGCAAATCTAGGAAGGAAATTTGGGATCTGTTGGCTTCAAAACAAGAGTCTTTGTTTGCTTTTGTGCCCAGTACTGAGGACAGCGCTCAGCACACAGTGCTCACTCGGGGGGAGCATTGGTCGGCTGCGAGATCCGCGTTGAGCACCAGTGGAGAGGTTCTCAGACAACCAACTGGTGCACACGGGCAGCGCTTGGCGAAGTCTACCGGCAAGGCAGTTCTGCCTATCCAAAGCCGTGAGGGGAGCTGAGCCCTGGGCGGGGGGGGGGGCAGCTAAAGAGAGACCTTTGTAGCCATGACATCCCGCGGGGCAAGTGGGACAGGAATCCGGGAAGGTGGGCGAAGGGCGTGGTCGGTGTCGGATAACCTCCCTGGAGAGCAGGGCACAGGCCCCAGGGGATCCTCCCCAACGCCAGGGAGCGGCGGCAGGGCCCCGGAGGAGGGAGGTCAGGGCGAGGTGGCTGGGCCCCAGCGGCTGCGGCTTTCGTCTGGTTTTGGAGGGGTCACAACTGAGCCCGGGCACGTGGCGGGGAGGCCGAAGTGGAAGATCTAGTGAGGCTGGCTGGAGCCGCTGAGGAAGAGAGAAAAGATGGTTGATATCAAAGAGCCAGAGGGAAGGGCTGTCTTTCAGAAGAAGCGGAAGAGAAGGAATGAACTTTCGTTGTTGTTGGATGTGTCCGGCCCACCACAGGGTCGCCTGATCCCCTCTCCCGCTCACCTTCGGGCGCTGGGCTCTCCCGGCGAGGGGGCGGAGCTTCCCTCGGGGGCGTGACAGGAGGCGTGGCCAGGGAGGGACTGCGTCCCGGGAAAGGTGCGTGGTGGATCGTGGGCGGGGCCGAGCGCAGGCCACGCCCTGAAACTACCTGCGCTAGGCAGGAAGGATGAGAGCGAGAGCCGCCGCGGGCCCGGCGCGCTGGGGCTGCCCAGGAACTAGTCCCGACCCACTCCCCGGAGCCCTCCGCACCCCGCGCGCCCCCCGCGCCTCCCGCGCCCTGCGGGCCATGGGAGCTGGCCGCCCGCAGGGACCACGCCTCTGAGACTCAGGCAGGATCCAGAGGACCATGAAGAGCGATCGGGCTCGCAAGGCCGGAGGGGGCCCCAGGGACTTCGGCATGGGACTCAAGTACAGCTCGAGGCAGCAGGTGGGCGGGTCGGGCAGGGTGGGGGGACCAGGATCGCGCCAGAGTGCCCCGGCCGAGCGGCGCAGGTCCCAGCGCGCTCCTCCCCGCTGCCCGCGGTGGCCGGGCCGGCGCAGGTGGAATTTCCTGTTTGGCGGGTGCCTGGCCGCTGGGCTCGGGCGTGGCGGGCCGGACCTTCAGCACCAGACCTGCTGCGGGCCCAGCACCTGGGAGGTGGGAAGCCCCAGGGCCCTGGGGGCGCCGGACCACTCCTCCCGCCTTCCTGCCCTCTCGTTTCCTTCCCTGATTTGAAAAAAAGGACTCCCTCTCGGGCCCTTCCTTACCCTCAGATTGTTTATGAATGCATATCTGGAAGGAGCCGGAGCGGGGTGGTTTGGGCGGCAGAAGGAAGTTTCCTGGGATGGTGGAGATTTGTCTGCTCTTGGCCTCTGCAGTAGTTTGCTTTCAGCTTTCGAGTTCCTTGCAGAGGGCAACCTGGAGCCCAGAGCCCCGGCAGACATAGAGGGAGGAGCTAGGGTACGCAAGGTTGGTTTTGCTCGGGTTTCCCACGGAAAGAGGCCACTGCGAAGGTGGCTGTAGGGCAGGTGCGTGGGAGCAAGTGTCTTGGGGCTGCTCGAGATCCTGAAGCATGAAGCAGCTCTTTGGCTGGAAGAACAATGAGACATCTCTTGGAAGAGCTCAGAAACATTACATCTTCAAGTACAGAGCCGAGGAGAGGGTGTTACCCTACTGAGGGACATACCTAGGTGGCAGTGTGCAGGCCGGACTAGCAGCCAAGCCCGTGTACCCTCTCTGACCCTAGGTTTCCTGGAAGGCGTTGAGAGACAGTGTATTTAAGTGAGATTTGCTCCTCTGCAAATGACCAAATGACGGGCCACTTCCTGTGCAGCTTCCCTCTCTCCTTCATCTCTTTCTTTTCTTTTTCCCGCCTCCTTCTCCCCTCCCCTTCTTCTCCTTTGATTTTTTTGGTATAGTACTGGTAATTAAAGCCAGGGCTTCCCACTGAGCTACATCCTCCATCCCTTTTTACATTTTTAAAATTTTGAGATAAAGTCCTGCTAAGTCTCTTAAGTTGTCTAGGCTGGGTTTGAACTTTCGATCCTCCTGCCAGAATGCTGGGATCACAGGCCTACACACCACACTACACACAGCATTAGGTGCGCCTGGTTCCCTTGTCCGGCCAGATTCTGGAGCTATGTCAGAATCATGCCTTTTCTCTAAGCAGCATCCTGATTTGTGAAGCTGGCCCAAGAGCAGATGATGGGGCTGTGTGGTGGGTCCCCAGTGCACAGCAGCTGAGCTGAGCACTGTTGTTAGCTCCACTTTTTGCCCCCACTGGGCAGAGCTGCTGGCCTTGCCTCTGCCCTGCCATTGATGCCTTCTCTTCCTTCCTGTAATTAGGGTGTTTGTGGATCCTTGATAATTGCCTCCTTGGGTTTCTAGATTCCTGCCTCTTTATCAGAGCCTTCTGCTTGGTGTTCGCTATTTCCTTGTCCTTCCTGACTTCCCTTTTAGGAAGTCTCCTGCTGAACTGGAAAGTGGGCCTTTCCGGAGGGGCCATCTCCTGCAGGGCACCAGCACCCTCCTGGGGGCACATGGGCTGGGGGTCCTTCCACTCCTGGGCTCCCACCAGCTGACTGTCACCTGAAAGCCCTCACTTCCTCATTTTCCTTCCCCTTCGGCCTCACTCATCTCTTGTGAACACATTGTGGGGTTGCTTCTTTCACTTCCGGTTCTGCTGTCATCCTTCATGCCATTCATTCTTGGTCTTTTCTCGGTCGAGGAGTTCTATTGAGCTAACTCTGTATGTAGTCCTGGGCCCGGCGCTGCTGGAAGGGATGATCTCAAAGATCCATACCAAGTGGATGTTTCCCTTATGAATGTTACGATCTTTCTAGGATGCTGAGATGTATGCAGAAGTTACATGTGGGACCAGTGTGGGGAGAAGGTGGTCAGAGCTTGTGTTCAATTCTGGCAGTCTTCACATAGCCCTCTCATCCCAGGCCTCAGCAGAACTCTTAGTCCCTGGGATCACCCAGCAGTGCTTGTAGGCTGAGTCTGCAGAGCCTACCTCGGGTCATGCTGGGCTCCAGGGGTGCTGTTGCTTTTGGATTCTTTGTTCCTGAGCTGTTTCTTTTTTCTTTCTTTCTTTCCTTCCTTCCTTCCTTTCTTTCTTTCTTTCTTTCTTTCTTTCTTTCTTTCTTTCTTTCTTTCTTTCTTTCTTCCTTCCTTCCTTC